TCATCGGCTGCAATCACTCAAGTTCATATTCATAATGAAACTAAAACACAAATCCCTAAAATTCTCAATTTGCACAAGAAGGAAGTTCGAACTTGAGGCAACATCAGCCTAATTATCCGTTAGATTCTCCAAAAAATTAGAAGAAAAAATAATTTATAAAATGAAACGATAAATGCTAGACGTAATTAGACTTACAAAAGTATGGAGATCCAGATCAGTGGAGATTTCTGAAACGCGCTCTAGTTGTTGAGTTGAAGGTGGTTAAAAGTGGTACGGCAAATAAGAGGGGTTTAGGGTTTTTACTAAAATAGCCACATTTGAATTATTATTATTATTTTTCTTTTAATTTAATTTTCAACCAATCTTGGAAAAGGAATTAGAAATAATTAATTATTTATCCTTTTATTAATCAATTAAGGAATATTTCTGAGTAAACGACTTTTTCCCACCCAAGGTTTGCCTTAATGACCTTTTTTTCCACCTAAAAAGTTTCAAAATATCATTTTCTCACTCAAAGTTTATATTCAAACTAATCGCCAACTAATTCTTGCATTTTTGTGACCCCACACCATCTCCATTCTCTTTTCCGATCACCACTTATCAAAACCTCTCAAATATTGCTCCTACCAGTCTCGTCAATTGCCAATAATTGAGCGATTTATGTAACGCACAATCGTCCCTCCTAAGTCAGATTCCGACCAATTTTGACTATTAAAATCCAACCTGCTACCACCAAAAGATTCATTGGCATCCCCTATTAAAAATCCTTAATAGTCTGGACTGAGTTTTCTTTCCGTTGGCTACCAAATCGGAAAGTGTATTCTAGATAGTAAATGAAATATAAACTTTGGGTGGGAAAGTAGCATTTTGAAACATTTTGGGTGGAAAAGTGTCATTAAGGCAAACTTTGGGTGGGAAAAAGTCGTTTACTCAATATTTGTTTCAGAAATTCATAGACAAAAGACACCAAACTCAAGCCCACAAAAATAGCCAACTGACAAACTTTAGTCATTGTATAAAATCCATTAAAAAATAAATTTTATTTTATAGTTTTCTAAGGTTAAATGGTAAATTGTTAAGATCTCTCTTATAATTATGGAAAAACCCCCCTTCATGGGGGGATTTTTCATAATTTAGAAAGGGATTTATAAAGGGAACTTTTAATGGTTTTCATAAGGTTTTGTTATACTTTACATTAAACAATCCACAAAGGTATATAAAAAAAAACCCGTTTCGGGAGTTAAATGTTTTTATGTTAATTTTTGAAATAAATAACCCATGATAATATTAATACCCCACCTAAACAGGTGTCCTTAGGGTTTATAAACACCCATCAAAGTATATTAAGGATATTATTATTATAGTTTTATCTATAAGGGGGCGTTTGCTTGGGGCTTATCCCCTATTATTGAAGTAATGTCATTTTATATTAATTATATCAATGTTTTGAAAATCGGACTGGATCAGTCGATCGGATTGGTTGGACCGTCAACTAACATCCTTTCCGGTCCAAATTTCTAATTTCATTGTTCACCCAAATCCCTAATCTTATCACCATTGAACAAGGGGCTACCAAGTGTCGGGGTTAGAGGGGTTTTGTAGAGTGAAGGTTAGTGGTTTAAGGGATGGTGTCGGATTGAATTTTGGACGCTAAAATCGATCAAAATTTGGTCGGAAAAATCAACCTAATACGTGAGTCACGATCGACGAATGGGGGGCTACCAAGTGTCGAGGTTAGATGGATTTTGTAGAGTAAAGGTCGGTGGTTCAAGTGGTGGTGTTGGATTGAATTTTTTACTCCAAAATCAACTGGAATTTGGCCGGCAAAATCAACCCAATCGCAACGGTGTTCGTGAGTCATGGTCGGCGAACGGGGGTTACTAAGTTTCATGGTTAGAGGGGTTTTCTAGAGTGGATGATGATGGTTCAGGTGGTAGTGTCGGATTGAATTTTGGCTGTCAGAATCAGCTAGAATTTGGCTGAAAAAGTCAAAACCCAAATAGATTGCTTGGTGTATTTGTTAGATTTCTAACATGCAGGGACTGAAATGTAATTTTAGGGGTGTTTTTGTAAGATTTCAAACTTTTCGGAGCACAAGAAAATGTCGATCAGACTGGTTAAACCGTGAATCGAGCCCTTGACGGGGTCAAGGCTCGGTCATGTTTTCAAAACATTAACTTAGATTACCACGTTTGGTTGTCAAGAAATATAAGATTCCGATAATCTTCCAAAACCAATAGTAATTACTGTTGGTTATATATGTGATAATTTGATTACCTCCATTTTCTTAGGGATTTTAAGATTACTTGATAATGTTAATTTTGTTACAATTTTACCCCTTAATAAAATTTTTGGACAATAATACCCTTATTTTGAAATTAATTTATATAAATCTACCATTACAATTTAACCCATAATTTATTAAGTTTTTGGACAATAATGCCCTTGCATTTAAAACAAATTCAGGCCACCCAAGACCACCACAACCCTCTAGCAATCGACGTGGCCGAAATGGCGCACAATTGACCAGTCATGCGTCGATCTGACTGTTTCCGGCCAGATCTATGGCCAGAGATTTGGCTGTTGACTGTTAGATTTTGGTAGTCGTCAAGATCTGACCGTTAACGACGATTGGATAGATCTGGTCGTAGATCTAGCCGTCTCTAGCCAGATCCATTGTGGATCTAGCCGAAAACGGCTATATCGATGCACGACTGGCCAGATCCAGTCGGTCTTGCACTGTTTCAACGACTTTTGGTTGCCGTCCGATGGTGATGACCGACTGTCCTCTTGGGTGGTTGGGATGCTTTAGTTAATTTTTAAACTTTTATTGTGGGGGTGTTTAACTAAATTAACAAATGAAGGAGGTTAAAATAATCTAAAATAATAATAATATAATAACATAATAATAATATTAAAATAGAAGGGTAATTCAGTAATCTATATAACATACCCACCAATTTATTCCTTCCAACCAAATATATAAATATAACATACTTACCAATTTATTCCAATATAACAAAACACATTTCCCTAAACTTTTCTAGTAATCTTCAAAGTAATCTATCTTCCCATAAATATAACATTCTCAATAATACAACATTTCCTAAATCAAACGTACCCTAAATGTAACAAAAAATTTTGTTTGTTTAGGCTCCGTTTGGTTTACTTTTTTACACTTTTTAGAAAAGTTTTTGGAAAAAAGTTAAAAAAAGTTGAATTGGGCGGGTATTACGATGTAGGATTTGAAAATAAATAAAATACCCTATATATTTGTTTATTTACTAAACACTCCCTATGTTTGTTTGTTTATTTACTAAAAACCCCTATAATACAACATTAAAAGTTAACAAAAACACCCCCAACCCACCTGCCAACACATGGACAGCTGGCCACCACCGCCGGAGGGTGGCCGGAGTCATTGTATCGATGCATGACAGGATGGATCTTGCCGGTCTTGCGCCGATATGGTATTTTTGGGCCAATACTACGGTGGATCTGGCCGACAAAGGCTAGATCTACAGTGGATCTGACCGGCAAAGGCTAGATCTACAGTGGATCTGACCGGCAAAGGCTAGATCTACGACTAGATCTGACCATTGACGACCAGATTTGGCCGTATTTGCTCGTCAACGACGGCCAAAGATATGGCTATTGTTGATGGTCAACGACGACCATGTGTTGGTTGTCGTTGACGACTAACTACGACCAAAGATCTGGCATTTTCTGGTCAGATCCACGCACTACCGGCTAGATTCAGCCGGTAGTGCGCCATTATACCAGATTCCGGCCATTTTCCTGCGGTGGTGGCCGGAATCTGGTAAATATGGTTGCTGGGGTTTTTTTTGCAATTTCTAAAAAAATATTTAGGGGTATTTAATTAAATTAACAAGTTTAAGGGGTTTAAAAAAAGTTGAATAATATTGTGAGTTTTTACAATTTTACTGTTTAACTTTATTGGGAATACTAATAGTAGTATTCCCAAATGTGAGCCAAATGAAGCCTTAGTTTTTTAGAATAGCATTCTATTCTGAATAAGATTTTTGGAAAATAGGATAGGATTCTGAGAATGTTTTTGGTACATTTTTGAAAAATATTTAGATTATTTTTAATCCCTTAAGTTTGTTAATTTAACTAAATACTCCCACAATACAAGTTTATAAATTAACAAAAACACCCCCACTCACCCAACTATTGTCGACAGCAGGCCACCACCACTAGATGGTGATTGGAAGCCACCGGGATGGTGCATGATTGGCTGGATCTGACCGATCGTGCGTCGATCTAGCCTTTTATGGTGGATCTAGCCGAAAACGGCTAAATCTACGACCACAGATCGGGTCGTCGTTGATGGCCAAGATATGACTGTTGTCAACGACCAAATCCAAATCTTCTATTTTCGGAAATAGACAGATCGATGCACGTCCGACCACATCCAACCGATCGTACATCATTATGATGCTAGCAATCAACGTTGGCAACGACGGTGACTATTGGCGAATGATAGTGGCTTAGGTGGGTGAGGATGTTTTTGTTAATTGTAAAACTTTTGTTGAGAAAAGTAATTGTTAATGTTTTGAGTTAAAAAAACATAACTAAATTTTAAAGAATATTAAAACAAATGCATTTTTCATTTTTTAGGATTTGATAGTAGAATAGGATATTGTAAAAATAGTGTGCCAAACGCAGGAATATATTCAAAGAATAATTCTTGAGTACAATTATCCCATCATATATATTAGTTTACTAGAAACTGTGATCTGTATTCATTAGGCTAAGTTTGCTGACCCCATAAACTTTACCTTAAAATAAACATTATTTTCTGATAAAATATGGCTGACAACATATAGAAGTGTAACATTTTAAGCCATAAAACATGATTTTCCAAGTTCAGAAATTATTAAAAAAAAAAAAAAAAAAAAGCAAGCCCCTCTTTTGATTAAAACTTCAGAGTACATGAAAAGGGCAAATACTGCAACACAAAAACAGCCTTCATTCACTGTACAAAATAACTAAAATGTGCATCCATTAAAGAAAATTGAAAATTCATTTCTTGGTTTTTCCTCAGTGCACATTTGCCATCATTGGACAATCATGAATTGTAGTAGTTTTCCTACATAAATTCTGAAGGCCAACCAAAACCTAAAACACCTAAATCCCATTTCACAACTTGAATCCCAGAAAAGCCATTACTCAATCTTGCTCGGTTAGGGACAAAACTCTGCCCATCGCTATACAATGAGTATTGAGTACAATGATCTAATTAAAAATTTCAACTTCACAGTAAATCTGAAAGATTACCCCATTTTTATGTTGCTAAAGAGTAGACTTTGTTTGTTGTCAAAATCATCGCGGCGTAAACTTTCCTTGCGCAGCCTGCATCTGTTTACACCATTTATTTAGAAAAAAAAAAACAATTAGAATTTACTCACAGGCAGAGCAAGATAAAAACAACTAATCGAAATGTCAAGAGCAGACTTTCTTTCTTGTCTCTTTTTTTCTGTGCTTTCTTTCTTTTTGCTTTCAATAAAATGCTCAAGTATGAATTGAGTACATCTACCTAGGTTACTCAAAAAATTGTGTTCTACAGTACAATATAACAAGATATTCAAACCTGACATAAAATCAAATCAAACTATTAAACCAATTACGAATATATTTAAGATAAGCAAAGATTAAATTCAACCCAAATATACATGATACAAGAGATTTAGAGTTTAAGGAGATAGTTGAGATGAATTGCGAATAGAAACTTGATGGATAGAAATATAATTAATTGGAATTAAGGGAAAAAGAATTGGAAAGAAAATTACAGAAAGTTTAAGAAATAGTAGTGAAAGTTTGTGAGAGTTTCAAGAGTTTATAATGAAAAATGAGACATAAAAAGGAAGTTGACAGTGAAAAAAGGCTGTTTGTTAAAAATAAGTGGGTAGCCTGGTAAGAATATTATTTTAAGGCTTGCTTGCGTAGCAATTTTTTTTTTTTTGCCTGGCCTGCCAAGCTCTATCCTCCAACCTTGTTTCCTAAGCCCTTGCAGACTTTTGCAGTTTGTCGCAGCACCACTGACAAAGTAACCTCAATGTCACAGGAGTTGACCAACTAACATAAATTTTAAAACAGATCATTTGAATCTGAATTTCAGAGGACAAATAAAGAGCTTCTGAACTGGTAGAGCCAAAAAGCTTCAGAAGAAAAACACTTTTACATTAAATCTTTACCCATGGGATTAAACACTTTTACATTAAATCTTTACCCATGGGATTAAACTCTCTTGAAAAGCAGATTAGGAAACAATAAAAGAAAAAATGGCAGACAAAATTGAAGAGAGGGATTATGAACAATATATAAAAAGAAAAACGATGATTGTTAGAAAAATAATGCCTAACAATAAAGTGATTGAGAGAGCTACTTGCAATCATGAATTAGCTCACAAAGTTTAACAGGAATAAGATAGATATATCAGCAAATTGTTTCCAACCTGGATATTGGCCATTTAAGTTACAAAATAAGTCTTTGTTAGACTATAAATTAAATAAGCATAGTGAATGACCCCTCTAAGGTCTATGCGGAAGGCTACACCTTTTTGTGTTTAGCTTGTCCATTTTTTTATCTTCTTTTAGTTTTAATGCAATTCTTCTTGTTTCCTTTATAAAAATATATAAATAAATAAAATAAGCATATTACCTGGCTTGCATAGGTTGCGCTATCCGCCAAAAACTTGAGCAACTGTTCCTTCTTTCTTTCAAAACTATCTTTTGCAGCCTTCCATAGTGAAGTTTCTCTCTTCAAATCATCCATCAAATTTTCTTTTTTCCATTTCATCTCCTGGATCTGCTTCTCAGTTGCAGCATAGTAATCAGGTTTGTTTAACATCCCACAGGATTTTGCAAATCTCACATCTATATCTTGCCTAAGATCAGATATGTCCAAATTTCAGAAACAAGAATATGACGGCAAATAAAATCCCACTTGTTATTAGTCAACAAAATTAACCACAGTAGTACCAAATTTTTTGGATGCTATGTCAATGCATTAACATGCACAAAGGTTTGAATCTTTTCAGTAGAGTATGACAGCATATTAAGGCAAAAGGGAAAAATCACAAAACTGGTAATCATGATTCATCAGCTTATTATAGTAAGCTAATAGAAAATTAAGTATATAACACTGCAAATGCTATTTTCATGAACAAACAGAAACTATTTTTTTTTTTTTTTAATCAAAATCAATTGGAAGCTGGTCCTTTTAACAATACAACGTTTCTGTTATACAGGCCAATTCTGTTTCATGGTAAAAAAAAAATGATATCACTGAAAAATCCTGGGATTCATAATTAATATACTAGCAAAGGATGTAGATGTGTCACAATCACAAGTTAACATATAGACTTTTAAGAGGAATGGAAGTGTGTCCATCAGTCCAATAGCTGATGCCACGACAATTGTTAAGCTTAATTGATAGTCCATCAAAATTGAGCAGGATTGTCATCTCCAAAGGCAATAGCATCGCAAAATAAAAATCAGCATCTAAGAGAACTTAATAGGAAGTACTAAAGAAGATAAAAAAAAAAAAAAAAAATGGATTCTGAAGAGCACCAAATAAAAAAAAAAAAAATCTGCCAACCCAGTTATGGGGGCAGACTTTCTTACCGATTGCCAAGGTAGAAGACACCAGTGCTTCTGATGATTCCACCATCCAAAGAAAGAGCTCCATCACTTATTAAGGGAAGAGCAAGTAACATTTCGGCCCTTGTTCTATATACTTGCAGACGTGAAAAAAGATTATAAAATAGAGTCTCTCTAAGGCCATACCCACTAGCAGTTACACAAAATAAGTTTTTGCTTTCCACATCAATCATATTCACNGGCTACGTGAAGGAGAAATGGCCAAATGAGCGTGAGAGAGATGGCTGCGAGAGAGTCTGAGAGAGATGGCTGCGTGAGAGTCTGAGAGATTGAGAGAAGAGATGGAGAGAAATGGCGTCGGTCTGTGACTTTGAGAGAGATGGCGCAAATGGAATTGGGCTTGGGTGTTTAGTTAATTGAATTTAGGGTATTAAATTTTTAACTACATATATTTTTTAATCTATAAACATATATTTTTATGTTGTTTACTTGTATTGTATTTTTAAGATTATTTGTAAGGATTTTTTTTTTAACTTTAATTTTTTTTTTTGAATTTTCAATTTAATTATTAAATTTTAATTTAGGAATACTGATGGTCAGGGATATATAGTATAAGCCAAGGAAATGAAATCTTAACAATTTTAAAATATATCTTAAAAAAAAAAAAAAAATAGAATGAAGAACATTTAAATTTATAGTATTCTATAACATGTTGTAAAGAGAGCAAATTTTAAAGGGCTTCAAATCTTCTCCTCAACGTCACATTACATACTAACTACTACAAGGTTTATTAATAATATTATGATATACTCTTAACTAGGGGTGTAGTCGAATCGGGTAGCTTGTGAGCTACTTGGGCTTGACTGGTGATGAACTCGGACTTGACTTGCGAAAAGATGAGCAGTTTGCAAGTTCGAGCTCTTCTTCAAGCTTTTTTGGGCTCGATTCGATTTGCTCGCAGGCTCAACTTGCATCGTCATTCGAGTGGCAGCAGCTCGATTGCGAATTTTAGCTTGCGTAAATCGCAGTTACCCTAAAACAAAGACAAACAATACCAAAATCCCTACCCTTTAAACTTATTTCACCTCTGCCATTATTGTCTTCACTTCTTCAGACCGCAAATTTGAGACGCCAGTCATGCCACCGTTGTTCAGCTACCGCTGTCCACCCTTCAATTTGAGACCTTTATTGAGCTTGGGTTCTTCACACCGCAAAGTTTGAGACGCCACTATTGTCCAGCCTTCATTTGCCCTTCAATCGAAGTTGTTGCAAGGTAGAATCCAACGATGAAGCTGCTGCAAACTCAGATTCTCAGGTGAGCTTCCATTTCTTAATTACTCTATTTGCGGTATTGTAAATTGATATGCCATAGGCTAGTTTTTTCAATTACAATATGAGATTAGTAAACTCACTTGTTGTCTAGAGTGGTAATCATATTTCTTCCCAACAAAGAATTTGATGGTGTCTCGACTCTTGACCATGTCCTTGTGTTGACTCTTATTGTTGAAAAAGCTAGATCTGTGTGAGACATTGTAAATTGATTTGTGTGAGGAAGCCTGATGTGCTAAATAATAGTTTTTTTTTTTTTTTTAATGATCAAAGGAATTCCAAAATAATATGTACAAGATATGTGATTATCATTTGAATGCGCTTCTTAGACCTAGTCATTATATGTTTATTTTGAATTTGTCTTCTTAGTGACAAGATGTTTGCTAATTACTTTGTTTGCTATTTGATTGATATGTGATTATTAATCTGATGATGTCTTGACTCTCTCGACCATGTTAGATTGTTTTTGCTAATATAAATTTCTTAATTACTTTGTTTGCTAATATTTTAAACCTCTGTTCATGATGCTTATCTCAAATTGTTTTTGCAGAGGGATTTGATAATTCTAATGGAGTCGTCATCCGCCCCCAATTGAACATAGCCTTCCACTTCACGAATGCAACCAATAGATGGTATATTTGAAACCTGGACTAATGACGAGGCCACACCCATAGCCACAGCCACAGCCACAGCCACAACGACACCTACTTCTCATAATGTTATTGATGTTGATGCTTCTACCCCTTGTACCAGCGAGGAGCAAGTTAATCATTTTCAGAGGAAAAAGAGACCAAAGACATCAGTGGTGTGGAATGAATTTAAAGAGGTAGTTCTACCGGATGATTCTACAAAGGGAGAGTGTGTTCATTGTAAGGCAAAGCTGGCAATAATGGAGACCAAGAGCATAACTCAATTTGCAAGACATTTGAAATCATGTTTGAAGCGAATAGCTACTCAAAGGCAAACATAGTTGTTTTTCTGTCCAGCTAGTTCAATGGATGAAGTCTCAATGCAATCTGCACTTGCATTTTCAGATGCCAAGTTTGATATGGCCAAGATGCGGGAACTAGCTGCTAATGGGTGCTCATGCATGAGCATCCATTTACAATTGTGGAGGAGGAGGGTTTTAACATGATGCAAAGATGTGGTATGCCACTATGGGAGAAGATCACGCGGACTGCTTTGAAACAACATTGTGTGACCGTGTATGAGATACAAAAGAAGAAGTTGTTTAATTTGCTTAAGAGTATCAACAAGATTAGTTTGACAACTGATCTATGAAATTCTTCTAATCAGAAGCTTGAGTACATGGTTCTCACCGAACATTTTATAGATAATGATTGGAAGTTATAGAAGTGTGTGCTCAATTTTGTTTGTATACTTCTTCCTCGACCTAGTGTTGAGATTGCTGCTGCTATTCATAAGTGTCTAATAGAATTGGGGATTGAGAACAAGGTGTTTAGTATCTCGGTTGACAATGCTTCAAGTAATGATGCGACAATCAAGATTTTGAGTGAAAATTTAGGAAGAAACAAGAAGCTAATGTGTGGTGGGAAGTTGTTTCACATGCGGTGTGTGACACACATATTGAATCTTATGGTTCAGGATGGGCTTTCCCAAATTAAGCCCATCATTCAAGATATACATGATTGTATTTTATATGTCAAGAAATCAGAGACAAGAGTGATTATGTTTAAAGAGATTGTTTAGATATTGCAATTGCCACAACGAAAACTCATACTTGATAGCAAAATGAGGTGAAATTCTACTTATGAGATGTTGGCACTTGCAATTCAGTACAGAGACGTGTTTCCAATGTTAGTTCAATTGGATAATAACTTTACTTGTGCCCTAATAGACGAAGATTGAGAAATACTTGAGAAAGTGTGTGAGATTTTAGAAGCCTTCAACTCTACAACTAATGTCATCTCGGGGAGTGAGTACCCCACTTCTAACTTATTTTTGCAAGAAATTTGTGAATAAAAGAGTTGCTAGATGAAAAGTGTTTTGATGATGACGATTTCATTCGATCAATGGTGGGAAAGATGAAAGGAAAGTTTGACAAGTATTGGGGGGAATGCAATTTCTTAATGGCAATTACAGCTATATTGGATCCAAGATGAAAATGAGGTTGCTACAATTTGCCTACCCACAATTGTTTCCTAATGAAGAAGCACAAGACAAAATTGATGAAGTGCGAGCTGCCTTGTATGAGATTTATGAGGAATATGTGGCGAAAAGTCAATCTTCCACCAATGAACCACCTGTACAACGCCCTAAACGTACTAGTTCACGATTCTGTGAGTTTGTTAGGATAACTCAAATGGTGCAACATGAGAAATATGAGTTAGATCGTTATCTGGAAGAGAGGTGTTTGTTATGGGACGAGGATGATACCTCGTTTGATGCGTTAGATTGGTGGACGCTTAATCAAATGAACTATCATATTTTATCTACGATGGCTCATGAAATACTTGCCATTCCAATCACCACAGTCGCTTCGAAGGCAACTTTCAGTGTTGAGAGTCGAGTTATTGACACTTATCGATCATCGTTGTCTCCCAATACCGCGTAAGTGCTACTCTATGGTGGTGATTGATGATGCAATCGCTATGGAGTCAAGAAAAGTTACAAAGTAAGTTTCATACTTCCGTAGTCCAATTTATTAAAATAATGGTATTATTTGGTCATTTATTAACATTATTCAAACTAAAACAATTGGTTTTCCTCTTTGTTGTTTAGAAAGAGAAGATAAATGAGCAGTTTGAGCTTCCGATCCTATGAAGTTTTGGTGGAATCTTGACATTTTAGTGATAGTAAATGTTATACTTCTCAAATTATTTGTTTTTTGTCTCATTGATTTACATATTTGGCTGCCCCTGTCTTGTTTAAATTGTTTTCATTTGGCTACTGTCTCATTATCATATTTTAAGTTCTAGTTAATATTGGCTGCATGCAATTGTTAGAGTTTGGTGAGTGAAGAGATGGGTTGAAAAGAAAAAAGAAAGAAAACTGATGTAGGAGAGATCATTTTGATTAGTTTTGCAGCAATTAGTTATTATTCTTTTTATTGTGAATGTCAGCTCTTAGGAACCTTCTATAGATGATTGGAGGAAAAGCGATTGTACTTTATTTTTACACCAGATTTGTTTGAGAATGTTTTTTGTGAAAATAAGTTTGCTACTTAAAATGATGTTAATTTAAAGTAATCTCAACCAGTATTAAAGTTTCAATATGGGTCGATTCCATCTTCCCATTACCTGGTTTGCTGCTGCCAAACTGGGGAAAGTCAAAAAGCTGTATTCACTTTGAATGAACTTTTATTATGACATAAAAACCTCTTGATAAATCACATTCTCTGATACCATTTTTTTTTTTTTTTTTTTTATTTGGTAGCCAAATGAGACTGCAATATCTTTGATTGCTGGTTTTGTTGTTGATGCAAGAGAAGAGAAGCTATTAGTCTTGTTGTTTATATGATTCGGTAGAAGAAAATATGATGTTTTTGTTTCCCATGGACTAAATTCCATATGCTTAATGTTTGCTTTTATTTTGTTTTGCTTTGAATGTTGTTCTTGGATTAAGGATTGTTAAATTTACAGTTTGTGTTTTGCTTTGGATGTTATTTGGATGAATGTTTGTTGAATTTAGAGCTTATTTTTTACTTTGAATGATGATTTTTGAATGAATGTTTCATTTTCCCATGTTTGAATTATGAGATTTAGGTGCAGTTGAATTTTTTTTTGCTTTGAATCATGCAATTTTGGTGAATTCAATTTAAACTAAACAGAAGGCAGAAGGCATACTGCACGTTGTAATTTTGTTTTAATATGGGCTTGAATCGGCTCGGCTCGGCTCATCTAATAAACATCCGAGCTGAGCCATTCATTCTCTTAAACAAGCC